TTTAGAGCTTTATCTTTTGACTCACATGTTTTGAGTCCCTTTTTAATTTTCAGACCCTATGTTTTAGTCTTTCTTTTGTTACAAATATTACCTACTGCTACAAATCCATTGTCGGTGACTAGAAGACAACAGAAAAAAGTTCAACAACCAAAAACGTAGGCTTTTCTCATCTTATCTTCACTCAATCATTGCAAACAACACCACATGGGTTCACATGGGTTCTGACGGAATCTCCAATAAGACATTTTGACCTCTTCCATGTCAACTCATCTATAAAAGGAGACTCTTCCATCTTTACAGGCAAACCATAAAATTTCCTTTGAAAAATGTCATTCTCCCTCAGAACACATACCTGTAACCCTTCTCCATTCTCCTCTGTATCCAATATCTTTTGTATTAATATTACAAATTTACATAAGATTCTATTTTATTGCTGATACTTTTGATTTTGTTATGCTTTATGTCTGATAAGTATGTTATGTGTTTGACCAAGGATCCTGACATTGTTGGTCTTGCCTTGTTCATTCGCATCAGAAATCTGTTTGTAATTTATAATTTTTGAAGTTTATTTTTGTTATAATTTTTGCATCTTATTTCTGTTTTATAAAATCAGTATATAGGTTGGAAACCTGTGACCCGATCTTTTAAGATCATTCTCAGGTATAACAGCGTCACATACTGACTTTCTCTACACTAGTATATATGTGTGTGTATATATATATATATAGTGAATATTATATATTGAAACTCGAGAAAAAAAACATTTTTTTTATTCTTTTTTGATTTTCTTAACAAACACATGTTTTATTTTAAAAATAAAAACAGGGTAGTGATTAAAAACACTTTATCTACTTGTTAGTAATCATTGTCCTAATCTTTTTGCTTAAGCTCCAACTACGGGGTGGCTTATGGGGGATTGAAGCTTCCACACATACCTCCTCTCTTCTGACATTTACATGTATCTCATCAACATTTCTTGCTTGCCCTCTTGCGTCAACCTGACAATCATAACATAGGTATATAATAATATTCAATTCTATAGACATGATGAAATAATTATAAGAAAATAATAGTACGAGAGAGAAATTAACAAGAAACAACCAAAAATATTACTAAAAAGCTAACTTGAATGAAAAGTAATCACGGGAATGCATGTTTGGTATTATTATTAATGTATTATTTGTTAAAAATTTAATATTTTTATTTAAAATAAAAATAATATTATTTTATTATTTTAATATGCTAATATTAAAAATAAATTTTAAAAATAAAAAAATATTTTAAAAAATAATCATTACTACAATATTAAATATGTGAGATGTCCTCCTAGTTTGATGCTATATAGTTGGTGCTATGTGACCCGTGATAGGAGGGATATCTGAGAAAGAGAATATGCAAGTGGATTACATAGTTTTTAATACAGGCAAGCCAATAAGATATGCCAGAAGTGAAGACAGACCCCGACAACAGAGGAGGCTGCAAGGCTTAAGAAACCTCTTGTCGGAGGACAATCCCGGAGCAGGTGCAGATTAATTTCATTAGATTGGACACGACAAGACGAACAAGCAACATAAGATATCTCACCCTTTTCTGGAGCTTGTACACGCCAAACCCAATTAATGGAAGAGCTGTGGGCTAACCATTTGTAAGCTGATTTAGAAGGAAAAACCGGACCAGAACAGAACAGAATCGAGATCAAGGACAAGCACGAATGGTGTCTTGGATAAATTGAGGACTAGAGTTCGAAGAATTCTAAAATCCCAATTATGAGAAGCAGAGATCAAATCAGAAACTGTAAAATAAGCATCGCGGCCATGGAGTTGAGGTAAAATGCACCGCTTATCAAACCATAGTAAAATCTCGTTACCATTCCCAGCCCACCCACTAGATATATCCATCCTCCAACTCCAGAAACTTGTGAATGGACTCGTCCAGGTATAAGGAGAAGCGAAAGAGAACGGAATGTAAATAAATTTACAAGTCCTATGCTTGTATTGCTATAGAATTCAGAAATAGCTCTCTCTTTACAAGTGGAAAAATTCAGAAGACGTCTCTGACATATGCAAACATCTGATACCAGTACTTGACGTAGCTTCTATGTGGAAAGCCATTTTCCGATTCACTGGACGCAGAAATGGGTTTGCATCCTAATGCTGAAGGCCATTCAACCCTAAATTAAGAATACCTCCTGTTGAGGTATTTTTAATCCAGCAGTGATGTGCTTGTTTCTTTTTTGATATCTGGATTCGAATTTTATTGTATACTGGACTTACAAGATGTTCAGTGAATCGTGTGATTAGTCATCGTACGCACAAATTAGCTCAAATACTCGTATAAAAAAAAACTTCCTATTGAAACTATTCCAAATTTAAGATTAGAAAAGGTTTATTTTTACCGTAGTTTTAGATTTGATCCATGTGATTATTAATATTAATAATTATTAAAGACTTGTTGGTTAACATTAGAAAGTGTGAAAATTAATTAAGATATCTCACATAATGTTTTTTAAAAAAACCTCCTGTTGATGAAATCAAATGTCAAGGTGTCTGGCATCTTGGCGATCCACGCAGCTCAGGGCCAGAAAAACATCACCAGAAAAAGCTGATTATTGCATGACGGGAAATAGTGTTTTTTTTTTTTTTTTGGTAACTGTGCTTTGGTCTCTTCAAAGTTGATTGGTCAAGAAAATAACTAGTACCAAAATTAGCTGAGGTGGTCACGTAATGACAGAAGTTTGATTTTGCATTCACATTTGTAGAAAACGCAAATAAATGAATAACATTGATTAGGTTACTTTTGTCCTGAAAAGCCCTAGCCAGTCCCTGACTGGATTAAAA